CTGTATGCTCCACTCGGCGCATCTCTCAGCGCTGCTGAGGGAGCTGGTGGAAAGGGGAGAGAGCGCCGGTGGAATTTTTTCGTCGGCGACTCTGGGCGGTATCTGACGGGGGCAACTCTCATCTGGCTAGGGACTGCTTTGTAGCTGTGCCAGTCAAATGATGAGGGCGGTTATGGGCATATACGCCCGGGACAGTTTCGAGGAATACGGAAGTCTGTTGAGCTTCTCGTTACTTCCTCAGGTGCCCAGGCATCGGCAAACGTTAAGTTGCCGACTGCTGGGGTTACTATATTCTGCCGCAAACACCGGCGGAGCGACACACTCCTGTGTCGGCTTCCCGGGAGACGGCGACAATACTCCGTGCCGAGATCCAGTCTTTGCTGGGGTAGGCAACCAGTGTGGTGGTTTCCAATGGTCAGGAATATGTGGGGTTTGACTCCACTTATTTCATAGTTGCCATTACGAACGGAATGTTCAGACCCATTCTCATCTGAGAGCTGAACAAGTTTATAGAGGTACTGTCCTTCAAGATGGAGACACCGCGCTCGGTGATCTCATCTGCCGAGACAGGGGATTGGCGCACGTCAATCGACCTCGAGGTCGCGTACCTCCTTGTTCCATTGCACCCTGATTTCAAGATTTACCTTCGGTTTCTTGTTTGACGGGACGTGCTACCAGTTTCGTGTGCTCTCCTTAGGCTACATTACGGTGCCAAGGGTGTTCACCAAATTGAGGTTTATTACAGCTCAGATAGCCAGATCGCAGTGCCGGTGTTGTCACCCGTACATAGGCGACTGACTCATCGTGGTTTCAGATAACTGTTGAGTCTCGGGACCTCACGATCAGTTACGAAACTGGGCGGAATTGTCAACCTCACGCAGTCAGATGGACAGACGTCAGGCGTCTCTCCGAGGGTCCCCACCCCTGGAGACACCGTCGCTCTCAGTCCAGCCAGATACATCCCTACCGGGTTAGGGCGATGTTCTGGGTGACCTGCAGCCTCTTGAGACGAAGTCACAACCTGCACATCAATGTGCTGGATTTGACAGCAGTCAGGTTGGTGTTCGATCCCGCACGCCGGGATTCGAATTACCTCTTCGGCCAGACATTCTCACTCTGCACGGGGCGCCACACCCGAATCCTCGGATTCACTGGGTGGCTTGGCCTCTGTCGGGTATAACACACGGAATTCCTGCAACCGTTGCAGACACAATTCTGCCTGGGATTCGACACCCGTTCAGTGTGTTGATAGGTGGGGCGCGCTGGTGTGCAGAAAGGGGGATTTCATAATCCCTATTCTGCGGACTTAGTTCGGATATTGGAGTTACTATAACCTCGTTTTGGTTGAGAGCCTTATGACCTCCACCATTGCCGGGTACTCCATGGCTATTTCCACGTTTCACACCTCGTTCGATGGTGCTCTGCCTAGGCAGCATCCTCTCGTACATCGCGTCGTAGCTGGCATGAGCAGGGTTCGACCGCCTCGTCGGCGACCCAGCCCACCTTAAAATTGCCACTTATTCACAAATGGCTGTCTGGCCCTAATTTTTCAAGTATATCGTCTCTCTCACTTCACTTGTTGACGTGGAAGACGACTTTACTTGTTGTGGTGAACTCTGGTAGAAGGGTCGGGTACATCCATGCGATTCCCACTGACCCGACACTGACAGTATTTTATACTGATCATGTCCGTATTCGACTCCCGGATACCTACCACTCTCAGTGCGATATTGCTTTCCACGTGACTGCTCATATCGCACTTCCACCCCTTAACCAGCCTTCCGCACCGGGGACCAATCTTTCGATTGCTCACCCGTGCCTGTCACGAACGAACGAACAAAGGGATCCGTACGGGTACCCATGTGTGCTGTTTGGTGGCGGGAAGACTGGGGAGTCTGCTAGCAAGCGCACTTTATCTCGTTGGCTTGTTTCCGTAATTGTATGGTTACAATGATACGGTTTACCTCCCCCCGAGGGGTTGAAGGCAGACTGGGTAGGGCAGATGCCGCTTTGTTGACAATACACAGCGGCACTGCTCAATGAAGAGATCGGTTCTGTCGCTCTTTGGAGCCAGCAGAACGCCTTCATTCGCCATTACCAACTTGACACGCATTCTAAGGATCGTGCTCGGTTAGGTCTTTCGGTTCTCTCCAGTGGAGAGTGACCTGCCACCCTGACCAAGTTAGTAACTGGTCATTGGTATCGGTTCTGTGTTCAATGTCGATATATTTCATATCACTACATCGTATTAACCTTACCATCCTTTCGGGTTGGGTCGGGTTTGGGTGTACATACGTCCCTTACGTCCCCTTCGAGAGGGCGAGGTCCGTTTTGAACGCTTTAACCAGTCATATGCTATTAACCCGTCTTGCGACGGAATTGGGTGCGAACCCCCCACGGGGCACTGTTTGGTATGCCTCTCTTCGAGCCGCATGTCACGTGACCAGGTTAGTGTAATGGTGAGCCAACATATGTTCGGCTACGCTTTTCGCTATTCAGGGGATTTTTGTACGCTTACAGTTTTTCCCTCTTCCCGAGCCTTCGGTATTTGGGAGTCTGTGTTAATCAGCTTTGTGGGATGGTGGCCTACACTTACCCTCCTCACGCCGAGAGTGTTTGGTGGGGGTGTTTTCACTCGTACAATGCATGGCGTTTGTACTCGTTCGATTTCCTCAGAAAGTTTTAGCGAGGCTAATAATTTCTCTGGGTTTTATCGAGGTCCCGGCTAGCCCTCTTCCAAACAGGGGCTGCATTCGAGCATTAGTTTGCAGTACTTATTAGCTCGACTCCTGGGTTATTGGCTTTGTAGCGTTTAAATTTTTTACGCTTTCCCTACCCTTATACCTCTCGCCACGATTGTCTGGCTGGGGCTATATTAGGGTTGGGAGTTGTTTCGACATGTCCCCATACATTCCTTCCATTGTAATGGTTGGGGGCGGGGTTTTATGTCATTGATATTGAGCCAATTGACATATAAGCTTGGGCTCTCTAGTTCCCGCCCCCGTCTGATTGACATCAGCGGTCAGGTGGCTCGGTGTTTTCTATTTCCGTATCGGTTGTAGATTTCACTCCACCACGGGTTTAGTTGTTGCCAGACAGAATGCCACTCCCGTCTCAAATATCTTTGGGAGTCTGTCATATGCTTATATGTACCCCAAGGAGGACTTCTTCTGAAAAAGAATTATACAAACCTGTAGAGGTTATGAATTCTTTGAAGAAAGTCCTCCTTGGGGTAAGGCCACCCGCCTCCCCTCATTCTGTCTGACACGTTCAGCATGAAAAGTGAGGTACGAGGTAGACGGCGAGAGTTACCTGCTCTTGGCTGTGTTGGTCCGGTGGGGCCCTGTAGGGGTGGTCTCACAAGACAAAACGAGTTTTTTGTTTTGTAAATATTTTATTAAAAATATAGTTACAACTGTCGTAGGATTTAAAATGGACATTTTAATGCTTATATGTACCCCAAGGAGGACTTTCTTCAAAGAATTCATAACCTCTACAGGTTTGTATAAGTTAATATGTGTGCATGCCAATATAGCTGATAGATATACATAGGCTATATCTGTATATATCTACATGTTGGAGTTTAATATGTGTACACAATATAGCTGATACATATACATCACATAGCTGTATCTGTATATATCTACATGTTGGAGTTTAATATGTGTACACAATATAGCTGATAGATATACATACTATATCTGTATATATCTACATGTTGGAGTTTAATATGTGTACACAATATAGCTGATACATATACATAACGCTATATCTGTATATATCTACATGTTGGAGTTTAATATGTGTACACAATATAGCTGATAGATATACATAGGCTATATCTGTATATATCTACATGTTGGAGTTTAATATGTGTACACAATATAGCTGATAGATATACATAGGCTATATCTGTATATATCTACATGTTGGAGTTTAATATGTGTACACAATATAGCTGATACATATACATACGCTGTATCTGTATATATCTACATGTTGGAGTTTAATATGTGTACACAATATAGCTGATACATACACATGCAGCTGTATCTGTATATATCTACATGTTGGAGTTTAATATGTGTACACAATATAGCTGATACATATACATACGCTGATATCTGTATATATCTACATGTTGGAGTTTAATATGTGTACACAATAGAACCGGGTTGTATGTTCTTAAGCGTTTGAAAACACATTAGCATTGGGTATAGCCTCACATTAGTACAGAGTATATTTACACAGTACAACTGAACTTGTAGGTTGTGTCTACAAAATAGAACCAAAATACAGGCAACATCTACACACTAGAGTTTGGTATATTAGCTTCATCTAGACTGTTTGATATTTGCTAGTCTGTTGAGGACTGAGGCAATGTGTTAACCATCCTGTATTCACAGCCTGTGTTCACCCTGTGTTCACATCTGTTCACCAACCTTTATTCACAGCCTGTGTTCACATCCTTGTGTGTTCACATTCTATTCAACCTGTATTCACAGCCTGTGTTCACTTTTGTGTCTTCACCTTTACATCCTTATGTCTTCACCCTGTGTTCAATTCTGTTCACCCACCTGTATTCACATCCTTGTCTTCACCTTTGTCTTCACCCTGTGTTCACATTCTGTTCACCCACCTGTATTCACATCCTTGTCTTCTTTGTCTTTTACCTTTGTCTTCACCCTGTGTTCACATTCTGTTCACCAACCTGTATTCACAGCCTGTGTTCACATCCTTGTCTTCACCTTTGTCTTCACCATGTGTTCATATTCTGTTCACCAACCTGTATTCACAGCCTGTGTTCACATCTTGTATTAAACTTTGTCTTCACCGTGTTCACATTCTGTTCACCAACCTGTATTCACATCCTGTGTTCACATCCTTATGTCTACCATCCTGTGTTTAACAAGGGTGTGTTTGCCATCTTGTGTCCACCATCCTGTGTTCTCCATCCTGTGTTCTCCATCCTGTGTTAATGTCCTATGTTGATGCTACAGAGTGGAACCAAAGGACCTGGATGTGCTGCTGTCTGAGGTTGTGCTTATCAGTACGCGGGCTGAGCTGTATCTCCGCTTCATCAAGAGGAGAGCCATGGTAACATGTTTTATTTGTGAATCTGAAGGATAAATAGTTTTCAAGATGTTTTGAAAATAAGCTTTTCGACCAGAGGCATGTTGTCTCACAGCCTCTGTTTAAGGTGTCATTTGATGATGCAAATAATTCTCTGTTCTAATTGTCATTTGATAATGCAAGGATTCCCTGTGGCTCAGTGGTCTATTGTGCAGCAGCTTATGTGCAGAGTTGTGTCCCTTAGTCCTGCCAGGATCTGTAGGTGTTTGTATTTCTTTAAACTCTCACTTTGTTTACAGTCTGATTTAGAAGTGGCATTTCCAGATGAAGATGACAGAACACGTAAGTTGTAGGGCTGCAGAGAATACACTATGTGGCGAATATGATCACATTATCATGAATATTGGATGCTTGAATCACGAATAGTTATTCCACGAATACAATATTGTAGTTAAGTGATTGATGTACAATATGGAGCCCATGTTGACAGTTCTGATTTGTCACAGCAATAACCAGTGATCTGATGACACTCAAATTTGGTATGTAATAGTTATAATCGACAGTATCATGTGCAGTCTTGGCAAACTAACATGACTTGCACTACTGCAATGCTAGTACATGTTCCATTCTTGCATATCTCACAATGAAAAAGGACATAAGGGTTCAAGTAAAACATGCTCCCTTAAAAGAATTGTAAATATTCGTTAATATTCGGTTTTGGTGAGCCGCGAATAGCGAATTGAATTCATGAAGGGCTACGGTTCGATTCACCGAATATCAAAGTGAATCGTTACAATATTAGTAAGTTGCTCTTGAAATACTCTTGAAATAGCTAAGTGTTGAAGGGTAGTTAAAAAATTCTGCTATAAAATCATGGTTTGAACTGATATATAGCTAATCACACTCGTATAAGAAGTGAGTAGCAGTATCTCCTGGTGAGGCTTGCTGTCTTGAGTCGATGCATATCATGGTATCCAAGTTATGTTGGTTGGTGCTCATGATATCAACCACCTGATTGACCCAGATTTGAATATTTTCTAACCCTTTCATGTAGCTAGAATATTGCATGTGATTCTAATCAACAAACAAATCAGATATATTGGAATATTTAATCCATCATCACAAATGTCTAAATAATCTTTATAGCCCTGTAAGGTTCATGTATCTAAGTCATCTATCAACTGAAGCAGGTCCTAGTGGTTAAAGCGTTGGCTCGTCAAGAAGACCGGGTTCAATTCCCCACATGGGCACAATGTGTTAAAGCCCATTTCTGAGTGTCCCCAATATTGCTGGAATATTGCTAAAAGCGTGTAAAACTAAACTCAGTCAGTCAGTATCAACTGAAACATAATCCTCTTTGCAATAAGAGCTTGCTGATTATTGTTGAAGATTAAGATATTTGTATGCTTTTACTTTAATCCAACATTTTGGGAATTATGCCCCTTAAGTAAGGTCCCTTGAGAAATGGACAAGAAAATTAGGCACAACTAAATGAGTGAGCGACTTTAGTTTTACGCAGCAATCAGCAATATTCCAGCTATATGGCGGCACTACTATATAGGGGAAGTCATCCTTTTTTGGCACTCTCATGTCCTGCCAACCTATAATACAATAACATATCACTAATCAAGCTAGATGTAGTCATCAATAATCAGCTGCATGAAGACCGCCTCCGTGGTGTAGTGGTTAGAGCGTCCGCCCGGAGAGCGGAAGGTCGTGGGTTCGATCCCCGACCGAGTCATACCAAAAGACGTCAAAATATGGTACTTGTTGGTCCCTGCCTGGCGCTCGGCATTAATGGGTACAACAAGGACTGGTCGACTCTGAGTCAGTATACTGTGTCTGAGTGGGGTATTCATGCTTCACTGCGGCATGGTATCTCAGTGAGCTAGCACTATAAAACCAGCTTCAGTCTGGGCTAGTACAAACAGCCGCACATACACATACATGATACACGCATGCACGTCGTCATATGAGCGAAATATTCTCAAGCACGACGTTAAACCCAATTTCACCTCACCCAGTTGCATGAAGGCAGGCTGGTTGGAGTCCATTCTAAACAAGCTTGTGATTGATGTTGTGAGCATCATCCCATGCAGTGGGTCGCGGTGACACACAGTTTACCAATTCATCAAGTCAGACTACCTGACCCATCAAGTGATGGTTGTTGGGGACCTCCCACCAAAACTCTCCTGAGGGGATAACCTAAATAGAGTTGACACTGTGCTGACGTTTGTACAGGAGAGAGTGTGGACCTGGACAAGTATCTGGCTAGCTGTGACCTGAGTCGTCTGATGCAGGAGCTCATCGGCAGCTACATCATGATGGAAGAATACTTCATGAGAGAGATGATGCTCAAGGTATGGGGAGATAACTCTGCTGACACTATATATGTGGTCATAGTCACCCTTAACCGTATTCCACCACCATCCCATTAAGGAATTGATGTTAATCAGTGTATGAAATAGGGCGGTGGGGTAGGCTAGTGGTCATAGCGTTGTCTCGTCACGCTGAAGACCCGGGTTCGAATCCCCACATGGGTACATTGTGTGAAGCCCATTTCTGGTGTCCCCGCCGTGATGTTGCTGGAATATTGCTAAAAGCGGCGTAAAACCAAACTCAGTCAGTCACTCAGTGTATGAAATAAGCCAAAATTCCAGCCTGACATCAGGGCTGGTAACTTCAAAATGTTATCAGCCCAAAATGGATTTAACCAGACCAAATATGGTGAATTTACTCAGATGTATGGAACATCTGAAATTTCTACCAGGCCATCGGGCTGGCTAGCTGTAAATTTAGACCGTCCGTCAGAAATCTAGACCATCTCGGGTGGTCGGACAGGCCTTATTTCATACACTGTGTTAATGTGAAAATACATGCTGACAAGTTGTCAATGTGGTTAATGTTTGCAGGGGAAATAACTCTACATACCAGGTATGGTGTTAAATAGAGTCAGATGGGAAAATAACTCTGCTGAAAATGATGTTCATGAAAAGAAAACTGGTTCAAGATATAGGGGAGGCAACTAAACCTACGGAGACAAGGGATTAGGTGGAGAGATATACATCTCAAATTTCATGATGTGGTAAAAGTATGAAGGGAGATAACCCTGGTGGAAGTGTTTCAGGGTAAGATATGTTCTGTTGAGTGTAAAGTTGGTACTTCCATGTTGCAGGCTGTGAACATGGACACCTTGGAGGATGGAGCCCAGACCTCCAGCATGGTGGATGATGCTTTCTTCATCGTCAAGAAAAGTGTCAGGTGTGTACCCCTCAAACCGGAGGCTGATTGGAGGAAGGTCATTCATTATTAACAGTAGCTGTAATTATTGCAGAAATATTTCAATAAAATTGTCAGAAAATTGAAGCCTCAGCTCACAGTGAACAAACATGGTTTCATCATCCTTTTAGAATACATCTGTGTTCAAGTAAATCAGATTGTGATCATTTTCTCTACTACAGGCGCGCACCATCTCCAGCTCCAGTGTAGACGGCGTGTGTGCAATGTTGAACCACGCGTGTACGCTGTTGGAGCAGGACTTCCGGGAGGTGCTTTATTCAAGGCTTCGCTCAGGCTTCCCGTCCGGCTTTGACCTACAACAGGCCTACAACCTGGTCCAGTCCAGCTTCCAGCAGGGCAAGCTGCAGAGCTCCGACTCCGAGAAGGAGAAGGCCAAGACTCTGTTCCTGGTCAGTAGCTTAGGGCAAGATCCCTGTCTAGATCCTGGTTAGAACTGGTTTTCAACCAATATTTGTCATTACAGACAGCGTGTGAAGCCCATTTCTGGTGTCCCCGGCCGTGATGTTGCTGGAATATTGCTAAAAGCAGCGTAAAACCAAACTCAGTCAGTCAGTCAGTCATTACAGGCAGCTAACAGGATTGGGTGGTCAGGCTTGGCTGATTCATGTAATTGTATTGTAATCTTGAATATCGATACTCATGTCAGTCACTTGATTGTCTGGTCTAAACTTTGTCCAACTACAGACTGCTCTAATATAGCGAAATTATTGCTGATTGTTGTTCAGCAACAAACATGCGCACACAGTGCCTTAGTTCGAATTCTACGAACTTTTACAAACTTACAAACTTACCTGGCTATGTTTCACTGCTATTATAGGTTTTAAGGACTATTTGCAGTTAATGATGGTACAGCAGTTTGGTGCCATATTTTATGCCAGAATCCAATAATAGGTTGAAATCTCTTCATGCTTTTTCCATCAGCACCAACCTTGTAATCTTTGGTTTCCCAAGATGGTAAACATTAAGCTGTTGAGTTCACTGTAAAACCTGCTTAAATCGGAATTAATCCCAGCTCGTTTGCTCACATCTAGCATTGCATTGTAAGAATAGGATACATCCTGTGTCTGAAACAGTTCTTTAAGTCTCATAAAGTATAAATGAATACATTTTACATTTACATGAGCTAATTGATCAGTTAACCATAAGATAAAATATGTCTGGTCCAAGTATCAGGGTATAGTTTTTCCCTCTTGTACATGAATCTCTTTTGTTTCAGACTGCCTTAAACAATGCTGAAGTCAGTTCAGAATACTCAAAAGCTTTAAAAACAAACCTTGAGGTAAGATCACACAGCTGTATTTAGAAACATATGATGATGTAAAATGCTCAATCATTAAAGAAGTATGTGCTTTTTCCATCTTCAATAAATACCCTTCTGACTTTTACTATTAACCTGGGGCAGTGGGGTAGCCAAGTGGTTAAAGCGTTCGCATGTCATGCCGAAGACCCAGGTTCGATTCCCCACATGGGTACAATGTGTGAAGCCCATTTCTGGTGTCCCCGCCATGATCCTGCTGGAATATTGCTTAAAAGCGGGCGTAAAACCAAACTCACACACTCACTCACTACTGTTAACCTGACACATTTCTCGTCATAATAGTTTTGTGGAACATAGCATATTTTAATGTTGGTATTACTCATGACATTTTCATGATGTTTTGATATAGGAGGAGGTGTCGAAACTCTACGTCCAGTGTACAGAGCAAGCCAGAGCCAAGCTAGAGGTGTGTGTTTCTACACAAGCTTGTGTACGTTTTGTGTTTTAGCTGAACCAGATGTTGAGACAGCATAGAATTCAGATGTAGATCTAGACTTTTGAACCCGTGTGTAGTACGGTTTAAAATTCGTTCCTAGCACTCAATACAGGTTGTATAATGTGATTTAATGGATCAGGTAGCTAGGCGTTATAGTTTATGGTTGTTGTCATGGTAACCTGATAATGCGGATTGTTATCCATAGTATCAATCACCGGATTGTCTAGTCCAGACTGCGACTATGCTTGTCGTAAGAGGCGACTAACGGGATCGGGTGGTCAGTTTCGCTGACTTGGTTGACACATGTCATCGGTTCCCAATTGCGCAGATCGATGCTCATGCTGTTGATCACTGGATTGTCTGGTCCAGACTCGATTATTTACAGACCGCCACCATATAGCTGGAATATTGCTGAGTGTGGCGTAAAACTAAACTCACTCGCTCACTCACTCTAGTCCAGACTTGATTATTTTATATTCTGCAGTCAAATAGCTGGAATGCAACTGTGTAACGAAAAGGTACAAAAACACACAATAGGTAAATAAGACAGTCCATATTGCCGATGTGCCACTCACTTGGAAGTCCCAAGTGTATACAGTGTATACTTCAGGTTTGGCACAGTACTTTTCTCATTTCCCGCCGTAATTTAATGACGAAGTGTGTTTGTCTCAGAGCTGCTTGTCTGACCTTGGTACGGTATCTGGCAAGTTCAAGGACGTGATTGAGTTCGGCTTCTCTCAGCTGACTTCAAGTGTTGTGAAGCCTCGCATCAAGCCCCTGGTGGAGTCCTTCCTCTCTACAGACCATAACTTAACAGAGGTGGGACACAGATCTTACTGAACTTTCTGTAGTGTTAACATCATGTCTGTGTCTCTGTTGTCACAGACTAACATCAAATACTGTTTCTAAGTTAAACATGAGACAAATAATTTCCACATCGTTATATGGTTGTTGACAACTGCGCTATTATAAATTTTAAGTAAAGTAAAAGACAGATTTGTTAAGTGTAGTCTTGATGTGAAAATATGTCATGTGCACGTATAAAACAGCTTGCATGGTGTGAAACTTGGACCTTTCGAGAGTGCAATAATCTTGTAATGTTTTTTATATTAGTGTAGCCAAAACAGTTTTCATGAGCTGATTTCAACACCCCTCAAATACCTGACATGTTTCCTAGTTGGATGCAAAACGTGGATATATTTGACCTGTCAGTTTGGTTATAAACCTGTGTGATGACAAATGTACTTTACTTTACCAGGAGGACTTCTCCAACTATGAGGCAAACGATCCATGGGTCCAAAACTTCATCATGAACCTGGATGCTCTGTTCAGCACTTTCAAGGTAGGTGGAGTGTACCTGATGTGATAGTGCAGGGGGTTAGTCTAGTGGTTGAAGCAGTCACTCGTCACACTGAAGTCCCGGGTTCGATTCCCACATTGGTACAATGTGGGAAGCTGATTTCTGGTGTCCCCCGCCATGATATTGCTGGAATATTGCTAAAAGCATCGTACAACCAAACTCATAAACCTGTTTCATATAGCAATGTAGTGATCAGATTATCTTTAACACAGATGTGCGACAGTCATTGCCCTTTGTGAAACAGGTGCTTTTACATAAAGCAGTTTTATTTTATTTTAATTTTTTTTATTCCACTTTTTTTGTTGTACAGCAAATCATAGATGTCATACATAATATGTCATTTAACATATGCTTCATTGAAAACAAACTGTTTATGGCAACACGAGCAATGTCATCCATCGAGAAGCAGTTTCATCAAAAAGTAACTGGATAAAATGGTTCAAACAACCTGCTTATGGCAACTGGACCAATGCTATACATCGAGAAACAAAATTTCAACAAAAAGAGTAATTAAATAGAGTGGTTCAAACATACCACTTATGGCAGCTGGACCAATGTCATACATCGATAGACAAAGTTTCATTGAAAAGGGTAATTGAATAGAGTGGTTTAACCAATGTCATACATCGATAAACAAAGATTCATTGAAAAGGGTAATTAAATAGAGTGGTTAAGAAACATACTGCGTATGGCAACTGGACCATACATCGAGAAACAAGGTTTCATCGAAAAGGGTAATTGAATAGAGTGGTTAAGAGACAAACTGCTTATGGCAACTGGACCGTACATCAATAAACAAAGTTTCATTGATAATCTAGGCCCTGAAGTGTTGGTTGTATTATGTGCAGGTCACTTCTCACATCAGGGAACTACGACCACCTCGTGAACCTCATCGTCGGTGAGATCACCGTCCAGCTGGAGAAGGCCATCACCAAGTCAACATTCAACAGGGTCAGTGAATATACCTGTATCTTTTACCACCCAGAGGTGATGTTAGTCAGTATCTGTAATGGTTTCAACCCGTGAAGATCCTGGTTAGAATTTGTCTTCAGCAAATCGTGCTTGTCGTAAGTGGCGATTAACGGGATCGGGTGGTCAGGCTCACTGACTTAATTCACACATGTCATTGGTTCCCAAGTGTGCAGATTGATGCTCATGCTGTTGATCACTGGATTGTCTGGTCCAGACTCGATTATTTACAGACCGCCGCCATACAGCTGGAATATTGCTGAGTCTGGCGTAAAACTAAACTCAATCAATCAATGTTTCAACATCAGTCACATTGCATGAAACACAAACCTGTTACCTTTATCTCAGCCAATGTAAAATATAATGAAGCTGAATAGCTGAAAGAAGTTAAAGAATATCTGATTTTATCATATGACTCTTGTTACAATGTCACATGATTACAGATAAACAAGCCTAATATGAATTGCTCTTTTCTTTAAGTTCATTTGAGTAGCAGGCTTTTTGAAGAAGTGTCTCTGAACACCTATTTAAAGCAGAATTTCCCAGCATTAGGTACAACCTGTATCCAACAGGAAGGTGTGTAGTAAGTACTATATCGCTGCTGTGTTCCAGCTGGGAGGTCTCCAGTTTGACAAGGAGCTGCGGTCACTAGTGGGCTACCTGTCCTCCATCACCACCTGGACCATCAGGGACAAGTTTGCCCGCATCACACAGATGGCCACCATCCTTAACCTGGAGCGGGTACGTCACACTGTCCACCTCCTTAACCCCGTGCTGTTGTCAGGAGGAGGCAGTAGGGTAACCAACAGGTTAAAGTGTAGGTCATACCCACACTGTCCACTGATGTTACCCGTGAAGATCTGCGTCAGAATAGGTCTCCAGTAACCTGTGCTTGTCGTAAGAGGCGACTAAGGCGATTGGGTTATTAGGCTCGCTGACTTGGTTGACACATGTCATCGTATCCCAATTGGTAGTCCGATGCTCATGCTGTTGATCACTGGATTGTCTGGTCCAGACTCGATTATTTACAGACCGCTGCCATACAGCTTGAATATTGCTGAGTGTGGCATAAAATTAAACTCACTCACTCATTAAGTGAATGTAAAAGTAACCTCCACCTGCTTAAAGATCTAACATTATTATTATTCGTCTGGACAGGTGTCAGAAATACTCGACTACTGGGGTCAGAATTCTGGACCTTTGACCTGGAGGTTGACACCTACTGAAGTAAGACAGGTGCTCAGTCTCAGGTAAGTTGATTACAGGTGTGATTAGGTACCACCTTTTGTTGAAATGTTCACAAGGAAAAGCGACTTACAAACTGAAGGTAATATTTCAAATTTTTACTTATTCTGACTCATGATATTTTGCTTATCTCCCTTTCCCTTTCGAATGGTAGTGGAACACCTGAATCCCTTGAAGTTCCCGAAGTAAGGCAAGTCACGTGACTGGTTTGCGCGGGAAAGGGCAAAAGGGAGGTAACTGGTGGGTGAGTGTATTTACACGTCCGCTTCGGGAACTTCAAGGGATTCAAGTGTTCCACTACCATTCGAAGAGGAAAGGGAGATAAGCAAAAGATCATGAGTCAGGATAAGTATAAAAATATCAATTTTACTTAAAAAATTACATTTATTTAAACATACTGGGTTGTGTGTTGTATGTTTTACAAACGTGTGTGTTAACTATGGGTTCTTCTCTTCACCAGGGTGGACTTTAGAATAGAAGATATCAAGAGACTGAAGTTATGACAGGACTATTTACTCCAGCCCAAACACGTCTTTCACTATATATCATCATTCCATAACCATCATGGCCGTCTTGTGGACAGGTCATGAGAACACAGGACAAGGGAGGTAACTCTCAAGACAAGGGAGGTAACTCTCAAGACTAGAAACCATTGTAATGGCAGCATTATCATTGATCTGAAAAAGCATGGAAGTCATCTACCAAGGGGGTAGGAGAGGGGAGCAAATGTAATGTATAGGTGTTCCATAGTGTGCTGTCAACAATAAGCTTGTTGTATCAAGCTCCACACAGGGACTTCTTATTACTTCAACTTTGTATGCTATCACTGCTTATCACCATGACCATGCATGGAGTTCTAAAACTGACTGGTTGTTATGTCAACAGATAAACATTAACTGTTGGGATGTTGTACATCTTTCCCGCTTCTTAGTTGTTTAGTGTAACTACTGGGAATATACTTCCAGTTACTGTGAGGGACGTGATTTGATGGAAATGGAAGGGAGATGTTTCATGCTGGTCCATTTCTTTGCAATCGTGGCTTCATTCTTTTTGAAGGAACAAATGCAGATTGATCTGAGAAGTTCTTCTCCATATTCTCTTTAATGACATTCCCAAAGACCAATCTTTATTGACAACAAATGTAAGTTCATCTGGGAAACACAAAGTTGGTCATTATCAGTTTTTGGAGATGGACATGCACCAAACTTCTCCTGTACATTCCCCTCACATGATGTGTTAAAGCATAGTATTAGTTCTATATGGTATTGTGGAGTTTATTGGAAATAATGTTCAGGATTTATGTGATATCCACACTCAGCTGGAGTCAGCTTAGGACAGTGTCAATCTGGAGTGGAGAAGAAAAATCCATGGTCACTGCTACACAAAGATCTGAGAACAGCCAATTACAAGTCTCGTCAGAATGGAATTTCATAGGACCAATCAAAGCTTTGCTTTCAAGATTGCAAAAGTGAAAGTCTGAATTGTTTTCATTTGTTGAGTTTTAAAATGAAATTTTAGAAGTGTTTCAAAATATGCATTAAAGCTTGAGAAGCTGATTCTGATTGATTAATATTGTCTTTCTGTTTTTTCATTAGTCAGTGAAAGTTTTCAAATGGTGTTTTGACCCGATCTGTAATGGGGTGTCCTGGAATCTTTGTGTAGTTGCATCAAACACTAAAATCATGTATTAATGAGATTGAAATGGAGCTGAAGCTCATCCTTCCTGGGCAGTCTGTGATATGTAGAGGAAGGCTGACGAGAACGTTTGTTCATGGTTCCCCTGCATCCTGCTCTTCCTACTCCTGCTCCGTTTACATCTTTGTTTCTCCAGTGCATCATATCTCTATCATGTCATGGTAAATACCCAGGACCCAGTGGCCACAAGGGGGCACTGATTTCTCAGTTGTCTCGCGTCTCCTCAATTTGCAGAGATGCCAACTCATACGATCTTATTGTATTCCTTTTCGAAAAAACAACACAAAATACGTGATTATGATAGCAGTAAAAATCTACGAATTTTAATAAAAATACATTAAATTAAATTATCAATAGCATATGTACCATACACAGTAAATTGAAAGTACATTATTCAGTATCAAGCAATATTGGGATACTTACTACTGATTTAGGTGTGTACAATGTTAATAACAAGTCCTTAGAATATCTATATATTCTGTATTAAGTATGAAATTCTTTGGAAAGATTAATACTAAATTTTGCCCCAAAATACTAATTTTTGCATCACTTTTTGGCCAAAATACTAATTGGGCTAAATTAGGGTTAGCATCTCATTAGGGATGTGTATAGTTACGTTCCTAAAACATTCCATGAAAATATGATGACATCTTCAAATTCACGTTTGCCTTGATTATAGTTCTGTGTTTATCACACCTGTTTCTGGTCACTAAGGTTGTAAACATCAACCACCTGGATTACCTTGGCCGTGTCTCAATATTCCTGAAACAACGGGATATTTTCAAAACAAGTCAGGACTCATTTTGATTTTTGTCATAAGAGCTGAGTGGTCAGGCTGGCGGACATGTTTGATGCATTTTTCTGTATCCCAGTTGCAGAGATTGATGCTCGTTATGTCAATCCCATTATTGTCTGGTCTCGAGTCATTTATTTTAGATACATGGTAATGTAGCTGAAATCTTGCTGAGGGTAACATTGAACAACAAACAAACAAATTAGAGGAAGCTAAAGATTTCTGGGAGCATGATACATGGAGGTATGATGCAAGGAATAATAAATAGTCTGGCTTCCTGTAAGTGAAATTAATTTTTTTATGTGAAAGCGACACTGTTAATAACATTTGCCTGCTTAGGATTAAAATTGGTGTTATTTCATTGTTAATTAATTAAAAATATTGCTATTTATTTGTGTAAATATTTGTTATTGTTTCCCATTGTTTGCTCAGAGATTGAATAGTAGTGAACAAACTTTAAATGTCATTAAAACTATTTTAATAATACAAGGGGTTTTTTTAAGCCAGCATAAATTGGCATACACATGATGGGATCTGTGAATGGAGGGAAGGGAGATAACTCTATGGGGTGCAAATGTTCTGGAAGCCGCTAAGGTTGTGATGGGCACAGAAACTTATCAGTTGGGATGTATATGGCAATCTGTTGTTACTCTTGCTGTTGCTCACAGGGTGTAATATATTCTAAAGGTTCTGTATATTTGTACATAGTCATTGTTCATTATCATTTTGTTCATGTAAATCCATTACTATTTGTTGCCCACAAATCAGGCTGTTCAACAGTAGCATTATAATGCAAATCTGATGTTTGTTTACAAAGATGAATTGTTACTGAATGAGAAATGTCATCACTATGGATGTCTGCCTATCAAAATGTAAACTGTAGATATCTCGATATAAACACTGCTGATATCTTCATGTTAATGATGGGGATATCTTCATGTGAACAGTGTGGATATCTCCTTGTGAACAATGTAGATATCCCTACATAATCAATAGGACTGTTAAGATTCACTTGCGTATTAGGTGAATCAAACCGCATCTCTTCATGAATTTCATTCATAATTCCAATTCACTAGAATCGGATATATATGATTTTCTTTTAAAAAGGTGTTTTGTACATGAACTCATTTGTTACTTATAAGCATAAAATATGCTAAATGGAATCTATACAAGCCATAAGGTGTTGTGAAACATTCAGATTTATTACCTTACATTTGTGATACCTATCATATTCACCTCGTCATGTATTCGTTGCAGTCCCAATAATCAATGCAGATGACTCCTATTTAAACACTGCAGACATCACCATGTAAACAGTGTAAACGATTCTACACAATGTAGACATCTTCAAGAAAACAGTGTAGATATGTCCATATAAACTGTGTAGATATACATGTTAACAGTGCAGATATCTATATTAACACTGTAGATATCTCTGCATTAAAAATGTAGATATCTCCATGTATACAGTGCAGATATCTCCATATAAACTGTGTAGATATCCATTATTAACAGCGTAGATATCTGTACATGACAAATGTAGATATCTCCACTTAAACAGTGTAGATATGTCCATATAAAATGTGTAGATATCCATTATTAACAGCGTAGATATCTGTACATTACAAATGTAGATATCTCCACTAAACAGTGCAGATATCTCCATATAAACTGTGTAGATATCTATTATTAACAGCGTAGATATCCGTACATTACAAATGTAGATATCTCCACTTAAACAGTGTATATACTTGTTCCCTATTTATCTGTGATCAACTGAATGTGCTATGCAGTATAAATGTCGTCATGTGTTTGTATGTCAAGTGTGATCAATGATGTGAACATCTTTTCCCCAAGGGCTGTCACTGATTGTCAGTTTTAGCATTGATACATCAAACCATAATGTTACAAAGTGAAAGTAGATTTTCAGTTTGTTAGTGAGTTATTAAAGATTTTAATGATTGTCATTTTTTTTTTTAACATGGGATTTTTTATATTTTTTATTTCAAAATGGTCATGTCTTAAGCAGTAGTTACCATTTTAAACACCTGGAGGATTAAAATATAAAAACATCCATATGTAAAATGTGTTTCAGAGATCGAGCAGTCTTCAACAAACATAGTTAAAACGTCAAATTGAAGTATTTAAATAGTAGTAGTTTCTGTTTTACTATATACCCTACTTTGCTGCTGTTGTAGTGTAAACAATCTGTATTATATGCAATAAGATGCAGAATGTCTTGTCTTCATTGGGGCACTCATAAAGATACCTTTGTGATAGATTGACTAGAGGTTTCTCAGATGCCATGTAATGGAGTAGGGCACTTATATGAGGTATGGTTATTGGCGTTTTCCTCTCTCTGTCCTAGTGGTTAAAAGTGGGTGCTAAATCACGCTGAATGCCCAGGTTAGGGGTAGCCTAGTGGTTAAAGTGGGTGCTAAACTCATGCTGTGTGGGATAGCCCAGGTTCGATTCCCCACATGGGTGCAATGTGTGAAGCCCATTTCTGGTGTCCCCCGCTGTGATATTGCTGGGAGTAAAACTAAACTCACTCACTCTTGTCTGTGTGTACTAGGAGGGCACAGTCATCTGTGACAATTCTGTCATCTCACCAAATATGCAAAACATGACAATTGCAAATTGAAATACAATACAAGCCAATTTTAAACCCATTCTACTCTCACACTTTCACCAATATCTAAAACATTCTTTATAAAATTCCAGTTGAAAGTTTGTCCCAATATTTCAAGGTATTATAATTCTGTTTTTTGTTTTGATACAGCTTTGTGAAACATGCTAAACTGTACATTTATTCACGGGAATTCGTATAATTGATGTTTACTTTAGTTTTAATTGTGTCCATTACTTGTTTATCAAAATACTTTACAATCTTAGTATGCTGTTTCTTTACTTATGTATGTTTTGTATGTTTGAAACAATGTTATGCACCACTTACTTCACATTTTTAGCTTTGTATACTGACATCAATAACTTCTTCATGAGCATATTTGCAGCATCGACTCTTTGTGATTTGTGATGATCCATTACTATAGTAGGAGATCTCTGTTACACCACCTGAAGGTTCTGGTCAGAATTGGGGGCGGTGGGGTAGCCTAGTGGTTAAAACGTTGGCTCGTCACGCCGAAGACCCGGGTTCGAATCTCCACATGGGTACAATGAGTGAAGCCCATTTCTGGTGTCCCCCGCCATGATATTGCTGGAATATTGCTAAAAGCGGCGTAAAACCAAACTCAGTCAGTCAGTCAGTCTGGTCAGAATTAGTCTTCAGCCAGTCTAAGTAAACTTAGGCTCAGTATTATTCCTTACACTGCTATATACTGTCAGTATAGCAGTGTAACGAATAATACTGAGTCTAAGTTTACTTAGACGGAGTCTTCAGCCCCCCACATGGGTACAATATGTTAAGCCTATTTCTGGTGTTCCCCACCCTGATATTGCTGGAATATTGCTAGAAGCGGCGTAAAACCAAACTCACTCACTCACTAGTCTTCAGCCACCCATGCATGTTGTAAGAGTGACGGGATCAGGCTGTCAGGCTTTCTGGTGGAGTGAGTTATGGTATCTGTCAGATCAGGGATGTTAAGAGGATGTTATGGGATGTTTGTGGATCATCACTGCTGATGTTTTTGTGTGAGTGAGTGAGTTGACAACGAGGGTGGTCATACGATTTTCTCATTTCACAACAAACCCGTAAGAGTCGTGGCATAACAACCAGACGTATTGTGTTTATTTTGCAAGGATGAAGATAGTTTCTAGATGTTTAGATACACCTGCTGCTGTGGAACTAGAAACACTGCACCACAGTCTTCTGTGTCAATAATCCAAGTTTCTATGGTAACATATATAGATCTGGAAAAATATTAACATCACCCCTTCCTTATTGTTTCTGTGCTCAGCTTATAGTTATGTTTTTCAAATATCTAAAGGTTCTAATCAAACACTGTTTATGTGACATAGCCGCCACTTCTAAATGCCCTTCAAAGATTTGTTTATGTGTTGTATATCTTTGATAACAAAAGCCTCAATAAGATACAACATTCCTATTATGGAGTAAGGTAGTGTTCCTGTAGCTAAGTGGCATGTGGTGCCATATATGGTATGCAGTGATTTATTACATACGAGCCCATTTCTGGTGTCCCCTGCCGTGATATTGCTGGAATATTGCTAAAAGCGGTGTAAAACCAAACTCAGTCAGTCAGTATTACATCGAGGGCGAAAATATCGGGGTGTATATTTTTTCATACAATGCCCTAGCGCAAAATATCACTTTGTCATGATGACGTGACGTCATGAACAATGCTATGACGTCGCGTTTCTTCTATGACGTTGCGTTCTACGTGGGGCGACGGCGGGTAGACGGCCTATGTTTGAAAGTAGATTTGGGTTTATTTTCCTCAATTTGCTGACTTCGGTAATAAATAGAACATTAAATTCGTGCCCATATCATACTATGTTGACGAACCTCATGCCGACATACAGGTATATATCCCTCGCTCTTGCTCGGGAAATACCAACATTTAGGTACTCGTGTCGTAAACCAAGGACGTATATGACATTGGCGCTCATATAATATCCTCTATGCATTATATAGGATGCATTTGATCATATGTTTAAATCCCTGTAGTTCTGTCAGCACCCCTTTTTTCTCAGGATGTCTTATTTTCGCGAAAGTGATGATCCTCAGGTGTAATTTGAAAGTGGGATTTCCTGCCATTGCAGTTAGAGTAACTTTAGAAACTCATGTACTTTTTAGTGGTACATCTGACATAACAGTTGACTATTCCACTTAACTTACTCTGCACCTGAGTGATTCTACTATGGCACAAGTTCATTCATGAATGATCAAACATAGCTTCATATAACATTTTGTGACTCGGCGTCATATTTCATTATCAACCAATCATAATATCAACCAGTAGTCACGTGACCATTTTCATCCAATCATCACATGACCACCATCAACAAATCCTAACGTGACAGGGAACAGTGTATGAGAGGGAGACAATAAAACAGTGGTTTTCAATTCCTTGTTTTGTCGTGTTTATGTCTGCTGAATAGCGACCGATATGTTCAGTAAGATCTCATACGCTTAGACGAGTTCAAAGTAGCTTTCTTCTGTCAGCATGTCTGAAATAATGGCTAATATAAACAATCGTCAACGACCAAAGTCTTTCTTGAGAGTCATGCAGATAGCTGAGGTTCTGAATAAAAATCCTCTTCATTGAAATCTGAAATTGTGTTGTGCGCTGCTTGAGCCCATTTCACCCGATCAGTACCAACCCGTGAAGATCCGGATTAGAATTGATCTTGAATAACCCATGCTTGTCATAAGAGGCGATTAACGGGATCGGGTGGTCAGGCTGGCTAACTTGGTTCGTCGTATCCCAACTGCCAACATCGATGTTCATGCTGTTGATCACTGGATTGTGTGGTCCAAACTGGATTATTTACAGACCGCCGCCATATAAACTAATGTCCAAAAGAAACGATACCACGTATTTCAAAGATCACTAAATGAAAACAAAACAACATAGACATTTCAAATTGATATCTTTCATTAGATAAATGATTTTACGGCATGTGTACAAAAAGTCATGGCAATCAAAGATTTACAATCATTAACACAGGGCTTAAAACGAAGTGTGGTGCCCAAAAGTCAAATTTCATTTTAGCACAGTTGAGGAGGCTAGTGAGGGTAGTCTCTGAAAACAGTCTTAACGCCACTTTAGTACCGGGTATGTCCACCAGCAGCTGCGATACATGCCATGACACGCCTCCGAGCTGATAACGTCGGATGACGTTAGGGGTGATTCGCTGCCACTCATCCTGGAGACAATGTTCCAATTGTTGGAGGTTGGCTGGGGGCGCAGGGCGTTTTCTGATTTTCCGATTGAGGTGATCCCATATGTGCTCAATGGGATTCAAATCCGGTGAACACGCTGGCCATGGCAAAACCTGTATGTTGGCGTTGGCAAGGAAGTTCTGGGTCAATCTTGCCGTATGAGGCCTAGCGTTATCGTGATGGAACACGATTCCTCCTGGATGCTGTTGGGCGAATAGCTGCACGACTGGTCGTAAAACCTCATCCTGGTAACGCTGTGCATTCAGGTTCCCCCGAATATGACGAGCCTCGTTTTCACATCACCGCAGATACCTCCCCACACCATTACACCTTCGCCTCCAAATGCAAGGACTTGCTGAATGCAGTTCGGCGCCAAACGTTCACGAACTCTTCGGTATACTCGCTGCCGACCATCGTTCTTGTAAAGGCAAAACCGGCTTTCGTCCGAAAACAAGACACGTGCCCAGTTTCGACGTTGCCACCGCCGAACACGCCTGGCCCATATCAATCGGTTGACTCTGTTTTGACGTGTCAGGTAGACTCCGCGGTAGGGGCGACGTGCACGGATACCATGTGCCTGCAGTCTCCTGTAGACGGTTTGTCGACTGATCCGGTGTCCCAGTCCCGTCGCCGCCGTTAACGTCGCAGGAACGAAGCGGTTACGTAGGTGAAGTAACCGGATGTGGTTGTCTTGAATAGGCGTGGTCACCCGGGGTCTCCCGCTTCTCGGCCTGTCTGTTGTTCGGCCTGTTTGACGCAACCGTCGCATTAACCTGGTAACGGTTATGCGCGCACATCCAAACGTTCTTGCTACAGCGGCGTGTGATGCTCCTGTCGGACCATTCCAACGGCTCTTTCTCTCTCGATCGCTGCTGTCAAACGTGCCATTTCTTTTGTGTGCTTTTTACTGCTGTGGGCACAACGTGTCGGACCAGCGGTTTTATACAGTTCATCTGCACGTGCATTTTGTGCTACACGACTTAACGTCATTTTGAGTATTCGTGCGATTGCTTCTTCAGTGAATAAATGTTACCGGTTTTTTCGATCGAATACGTTTGGTTAGGAACGTGGGATACATAGAGAATACTACACGAGGTCTCATTACATACGAATTATACGAAACGAGTGTCCTTCCTATGGTATCTGACCGAGCGAAAGCGAGGTCAGATAACATAGGAAGGTCACGAGTTTCGTATAATTCGTATGTAATGAGACCGAGTGTGGTATTTTATTTATTACCCACGTCTTACATGCATTAAATTGACAAAATAACGTAGTTTTGTTAATATTTTGGTTTCAAACCGAAACCGGTTTCATAAAGAGGTTGCGGAAGAGTTTTGTACTGTAGTACAATATTTGCATGACGTCACTGTAATGACGTCACTGCCTTGGTAACCGACGTCACGATGCATGTCAGTTGTCTTCGCCTCGTACAGCCTCCTACAGTAAACTACTCCGTAGCACCCCGTTTCTTGGTTTGCAGTTGCTTCATTCGGCTAACATCACTGGTGGAAACATTGCGTTTACGTTTTTCGACGGGTATAATGTCTCAGTTCGACTCAATAATAAAACAGCGACACGGCAACGTTCGCGATGTTTACATTCCCACAATGCATTTAGTTGTAGAATGAATGGATCCACGTGTCTGTTATGAATGAAAAAGTAGTTCCGTCACAACATGACCTAACTGAGAGGTCATCGGTTATCCAATCAAATCGTTAGAATCTCAGGTCAAGTCGTTACGACACAGGTCAACGCGATACGACACACGTGTGACGTACGAGATTAGTATGCAACTCCCATACGTTGACCACGTGGGTAATAAACAGAAATATGTTTTTTTCTCCAAAAATTATCATTAATTTAAAAATATTGAAAAAACTATTTGGTATCGTTTCTTTTGGACATGAGTTTAGTTGTCTGTACCATACGTGTGTTGCGAGTAGCACTGAGCAAAAGCATGGTAAGATACTACCACCTGCTTCACAATGAAATGAAAGACGAAGGAGTTCGCGGTACACATTCTTTTGTTCCTTTTGATATTTATTCCCTGTGCAGTATTCTATGAAAAGGCTAAACGTTCGTGAAATTACGTCACGAAACTTTTGTTTTCAAGCCGAGAACGTTTGTGCTCACGTTGAATGTCTTTCACAGCAGCGAACAGCCTGAATGAAAATAGTTCTTTGATGAAAAGGGGCGGCGAAGAAGGGATTGCAATGGAAAGAAATCTCTCTGTCCTGGGCACTGTTCCATGGAGTTTCTTACACATCAAGGAATCCCACAGCCCTCACTGTTGTAAGTCAGTGGTCTTCGGCAGTGAACGAGACGCGACATGGAGTACTGACATTACCTTATTGAGCAGGGCCATGGTCTTGCTGGTCTTTTGATCAAGGATGCCGTAGGCTGGAGATCGTTACAATTGTTATTGAGAATTTACACAAAATCTTAGAAACGTGATTTGCATAAGGTCACTCACAATGTTCGCAAAGACATCATGGCTAATATGCTCGACTGTTTTCGTTTTTTCAAGGAGGTTTTTTCGGATATATGCTTTGTGAGAAACGACAGATCCATTGTTGGAATATGACAGAAGGGTAGTAAACGTGAACAGAACGACCTGCACTTGCATCGGACAAATAATCAGGCTTACACTAGCCATCGATACCGATTTAGGTATAAAAATGTTCATTTCAACAACGCTGTAACGTGTCAGCAGCTGTTCCAAGACTTTAACGCTATGACGCGAATAACGGTTATTGTTCAGCGAGGAATCACCGCTGACTCTGGAGTATCCATTTTTTCCACGTAGACAAGCACGTGATAAAATCAAAGGCGAGCATGAAGTGCAATACCCTTCATTAAGCAAATATCAAGTTTCATTAAACTGTTTTCACAACTTGATAACTTGGAAAAACAATAATTTGATAAGTAAATATGTTGCGTCCTTAACGGGCAACTCCTCAAAAATGGCTAGTTATTGGTGTGCGGAATGCTAGCATGAAACTGAAGGCTACTGCAAGAGACGTTGTCTTCTATTGACTGTCAGAAAGCAGCAGCAAACTAATGACTTAAAGGATCAACCACCAGTGACAACACCTTGAGAAGATACAACCTTTCTCGGAATTACAAGACTTCATCCGTTCATGTCATTTGGCGTGTTTAAAAAGGAGTGACTTCCACGTTGTTGTTTGACCAACAGAACGGTCCGAAATTACCTGAAATTGTCGGGTTTAGATCAAGCAGACGTCACTGGAATTTGACGTCATGGGCAATGGTCCACTGGTCGGATGAAACTCGATATTCTTTTGTTCATGACGTGCGTTTGGCGCCTCAGCAACACTGCATTGGCACAAGGGGACTATCTCAGAGCAAGTACCGTTTGGTTGAGGTTCATTGATATTGTTGGGGTGTCTCAGACTGCTAACTTGACTTTGTGACGATCAGACAGTATCTGAATGGACAACGGTGCATAACTGACACTTTAGATGGGGTTGTTGTACCACATTTCCATGACCATCCTCTGAACACAAGGCCAGTCTTCACGGACGACAGGGGCGGTGGGGTAGCCTAGTGGTTAAAGCGTTCGCTCGTCACGCTGAAGACACGGGTTCGATTCCCCACATGGGCACAATGTGTGAATCCCATTTCTGGTGTCCCCCGCCGTGATATTGCTGGAATATTGCAAAAAGCGGCGTAAAACCAAACTCACTCACTCACTCACTCATGGACGACAATGCTAGACCACATCGTGCACGTGTCGTTGGTGATTTCTTACGTCAGGAGGCCGTAGAAACTCTACCTTGGCCCGCAAGGAGTCCATGTTACAATTCCATAGAGCACATTTGGGAATACGCCAGAGAGATGTTCCAGTACAAAATCTTGAATACTTCAGCGTCAAATCCAACTTCTGGTCCCGTCAGGGATATTATTGCATTTGGCGAAGGTTACACCAGATATTATGCTCGGGTTATTTATACTTATGTATTGTATGCCAGAATCTTGAAAATGGCCGCACTTGTTAACGTCAGCAATACAAAATGAGTCAAGTTTTGGCCATGTTTGCTTCTCTGAATAAACTGCAGTTTTTCTTCTCTTTAGATTTGCCATTTAAGTATTCAAAGAGGGTCAATTTATCAGGATAGGAAGTTAAATTGTGGTTTGGATAAAAACGTTCCAATGGTTTGATAACATATTGATACTATGCATATCATGGGGTGTTGTGATACTTTTTTGCCATGTATATAGTTTAAAAACACATGCACGTCTTCTCTACAGTGTTTCTTATGCGTCTGGTCGCTTTCTACGTTATGACAAGGCGCTGTGGTTAGTTGTATGAGAAACATCATCGCAGACATCCTTTTCGATGTTTCTTGTCAAAGTAACTTAAACAAATAATACCTGTCATTCCTCTGTATAGGGGCGGTGGGGTAGATTAGCGGTTAAAGCGTTCGCTTGTCACGCCGAAGGCCTGGGTTCGATTCCCCACATGGGTACAACGTGTAAACCCATTCCTGGTGTCCCTCGCTGGAATATTGCTAAAAGCGGCGTAAAACAAAACTCACTCACTCACTCACTCACTCACCCACCCACCAAAACCCACTCACTCACTCACTCACTCACTCACTCTCACTCATGTGCTAAAGGGGTTTTTTTTGTGGTGGGTTAGTGATTAGTACATTCAGAAACAGCGATATATCAGTTTGTGATCATAATTTCTGGAGTACACTACGGGCATCAATGGCCCCTCTGGTCCGATATGAAGAAAAAATATATTCTTGAAAAAGATTGTCTGACCATCGTCACATCGTCAGTTTAACATCTTTCATGGGATATGGTTTGCCTAGACCATTTTACCTTCGACACGAAAGGAATGGTGACTTGCCCCAACGCTGCACATTCGACATGAAGGGGATGTGATATATTTCTGTATAAAGGCTTCCTGTAAATATTCGAGTCTAGACCACTTAATCCAGTGAGTGATAAATTGAGCAACGATCCACGTCACCAGGATACAGTGACAAAAAGCCTGATCCGAGCCTGACCATCCGATCCATTTGGTCGCCTCTTGTGAGTGAGTGAAGTTTTAGGCCGGAGCGGGGGACACCAGAAATGGGCTTGACACATTGAACCTATGTGGGGAATCGAACCCGGGTCTTTAGCGTGACGAGCGAACACTTTTCCATTAGGCTATCCCACCACCCCCTTATGACCAGCATATGTTGACTGCGGCCTGTGGATTCTCAAATCAAACCAGTTACTGATGTTCTATTTCATGTGTCCCCCGCCGTGATTGTACTGGAATATAGCTAAAAGCGGGGTAAAACCATACTCACTCACTCACTACTCATATTCGGGTCCTGTTAAACCATCCGGATTTTTTATGTTTTTCCTCTCCTTCTTCAAACAGCAAGATAGCGGCAGCTACTAATTTTGTAATGTATTTTATGAAGTTTTAAAATTTAGATCACTCATCTTCGGATTAATTCATGATGTGTATCGCGTTGCTTTGCTAAATAAATGTTGTTAAGAGAAATTAAGCTGACCTGAGCCCTTTTATGACTGTGCAAGGTTAAGGGTATTTTGTATCACACTTGTGCATGAATTTCCACAGCAACGGGGAAAACTGTGATGAGAAAACTTTTTATTATTTCACGAAAACTATAATTCAGTGCGGGCGGGAGATGGGAAACACTGAAATGGCAAGACTTTGGTAAGTCAACGAAAGTGGCTTCACATATGTTGCTGTGTTCTTGGGTTCACTGTAAAGACGCCACAGGACTATACAGCCCCCGTTTGTTATGCAATATGTTTTGTATAATATTTTAAATTATTAAATCTATTAACATCCGTCAGCATTGCGAGTTATGCAGGATCCGCTTGTCTGTGTTTGAATCCTGTCCGTCCCAACTGATTCTATAAATGTCAGTACCATAACTCTTGAAATCTTTTATATATCGTAAATATCTACGACTTGGGTCAGTTAGAACCACCCTCCATTAAGCAGAAACCCTGTATAATTAGAACAATGCTAAAACCTACGTAAACTCGAACATTCACTAAAAAATAGTCAGGTAACTTAGGGTAAATAAGCTGATACGGCCAAGCCTATGAAAAACCAAAAGGTCAATGAAGACCTTCGAATAACATGAGGGCGGTGGGGTAGCCTTGTGGTTAAAGCGTTCGCTCGTCACGCCGAAGACCCGGGTTTGATTCCCCACATGGGTACAATGTGTGAAGCCCATTTCTGGTGTCTCCCGCCGTGATATTGCTGGAATATTGCTAAAAGCGGCGTTAAACTAAACTCACTCACTCTCTCGAATAACATGAATCATGCCTGCCATTTTTTTCTATTTGACCTGCAAAAAAATGTGACATTATGAGTTTGAAAACTTCCAGCAATATTTAATGTTGACGTCATTTCCCGAAGTTGGCATCTGGTTGATGTTACAGCGACGTTCCTGAAGGCGGAAGCAGGGTGCTGTATGCAGGAAGCGCTGGGTAACGAGCAAATGGTAATTGTTTGTGTTTTTGTAAAGCTGCATGTGTTTGTAAACAGAAACAGTTGGATGCGGCGCATGTATGTTCATGCCATGCTGTGCAGCACGTGCTCATCACCATCCATCACAGCCCGGGGGTAAGGCGTTTGTCAGGATGGTAGGGCACGACAGTCTCGGTGCAGTCCGGAGGGTGATCTATCATCGTTTCGGATAAGATGTTTTTGTTTTTGTTTTGTCTTTTTTCTAAATGGAATTACGTAATGTTCCCTATGTGAGGTTTGAGTCACCACGGGGTGGTTTACGTATTTGCTGGGTAATCTATCACAACTCCAGGTTGTCCTATAGGACAAAGGGTGGTGGGGTGGCCTAGTGGTTAAAGCGTTGACTCGTCACGCCGAAGACCCGGGTTCGACTCCCAAAATGGGTACAATGTGTGAAGCCATTTCTGGTGTCCCCCGCCGTAATATTGCTGGAATATTCCTAAATACGGCGTAAAGCCAAACTCACTCACTCGCTACTCACGGGTAGATGCGGTAGCGAGTTTCTACATCTCTAACAGGCTACAAATCACGATCGTTCTTTTGACGACCATACCAAACTCTTCCTTGATCCCCCGCCGTGATATTGCTGGAATATTGCTAAAAACGGCGTAAAACCATAGTCAGTCAGTCAGTTTACTTGATCACTTACCTCTAATTACGTATATACTATATTTCATCGAAAGTGGACTTTGGATAAGGATTCCAGAGAAAAAAAAGCAAAATCCGGACGTTTTTTCTAAGGGGCGGCCATCTGGTTTTCCAAAATCTCTTGCAATCTGGAATTCTTACTCTAAGTTATTCTAAGTTCACTTTCGATGAAATACAGTATACGTATACGGCTAAAGGGTCAACCACCATGGCCTGGGTTGAGGTCAGTGAAATTGAATATTCATGATTTTCATATGAATATGTAATATGCATATAATTAAAATACGTTGACCATTAGCTAATCCACATATGTATATAGCCGGGCTATATCTCCCGGAACGGTAAATTCCTCCTAAAGCAATGTGTTCCAAAGAAAACCGTTTCGTTATCCTTTTTTCATCTTTTCTGTTAAGAGGTTTTCAGACCCAACAAGATGCACACATATATTCTTGGGATAGAAGATAGATACAAGTTACACAAACCTTTACTTAAGAGCATTTCTTAATTGCCCTCTTCCACTTTCGTTACACGTTATCAATAAAAGTTCCATGCGCGTTATTAGAAACTACGTTACATCTCTCCACGGAGCAGAAATCTGGCAAAGTCATCGTTAATGTTCAAAGTTTGTAATTTAGTTGAAAACTTCAAACAAACCAGAAAATATAAACTTAACATAAACAACATATGCTCATCAGCTGAGACAACGCTGTGCACCTATTGCCCGTTGTCATGGTAACCTGCTGCAGATTACCTGCCTGAAAACACATGTTAAGTATCAGCAGAGCGTCGTCACGGCGTGGTGGGAGATGGCGAAGTTTGTAGTCGTGCATGACGTCGCCGGTACAGAGAAGTTGAAGTAGGTCGAGGGGGTATCGGCAATTGAAATTCTTGACTTCAGGCTCAACTGCCGGGTGAAAGAAAGTATACCCTTTAAAACTGGATGGATAGAAAATTCAGTAATTATGAAAACGGCACTGGACTGAAAACAGGCGCCGAAACAATACGAACTTCAGATCAGAAACGAAATAATGAAACCCGTAATGAAATATATCAGAAGGGATATCTTTTGATAAAAGTCTTTTCGGGTCTTTTTATTGTGTGTATGTTTTGTTTTGTTTTGTTTGTTTTGGGGGTGTTTTGGGGGGGGGTGGGGTTTGTTTTTGGGGTTTTTTTGGGGGTTTTTTTGGTTCCTGGGTTGTTCCACGTGTGTGTATGAGTGAGTGTGCTTGCGTGTCCGTGCGTGCGTGTGTGTGTTTTTTTCCCTGTTGAATAAGGTGATTAAATTTAGTCCCAGTGTAACTATAGGAATATTTTACAAGAAGGCAGACATATAAAGCTTCTTTGGTGTTCCTGGTAGCACTATTTCAGGTAACTCTTTGCATGGCATCTTTTAGAAGTTGGAGAGTCAGATAGGGATAAACGTCATGGATGATCAACTGAATAGAGAAGATGTTTATCCATAACACTCGTCCTCATAATAATTTCAGGTGCATCCCGACGGTCTTATCTCAGAAAGGCCAGGCAAACTACGACTGACGCTGACATAAGGCAGGTCAAGCACTATCAACACAGATCCTGATTTCAGGCAGCTCTTGATACAACCCTGTGGTGCTGGGGACATATTCTGCCCCGGATGTCATGGAGAACTCTTCAACTGGAGACAAGACACGCTGCTTCTAGATTAACAGCAAGTAAACATAATTATTTTCCTCGAATGTTTCCCCAATGTAACCCCAAAGCAACAGTGGTATAACCTTTCGTCAGACTTGTTGAAAATACTCTGTAAACATGGAAGACATATCTTTCAATTATTTTAAACAGAAGTTATACATTTGATACGGCTACTGATAGGGCCCGTGATGAGATGTACAGAGCGTTCCATGTGTATCGTCCTGTGTCAGGACGTAGTTACACTGAATACGGATTTTGTATGGAGAGGTGAAAATATGTCGACAGATTTTCTTAATTGAAATCCATGTTTCAAACACCTACATCGTTCACCCCATTTCGAAACTTGCCAAAGAAGCTGCATGGTTGAATAAGTGGAACCCGAGAGTGTTGAAAAAACGTTCTTGAGGGTTTTGTGGACATACCAAGATCTTATAGTGAGTATGTGTGCGCGCCTGCGTGCGCGCCTGCGTGCGTGCGTGCGTGTGTGTGTGTGTAAGGTTGCGAGTATTACGCATGGATTTACTGGCTTGCGCAAGATTTTTCTTGTTGATCTTATTGCCTTTTTAAGCAGGTA